AAGGCAGGGAGCTCCCCGCAGTGGTCGGGAGTGCGGTGGCCTTCGGGGCGTGTGCCGATGTATGCCTGGTCTTTAGAGAACAGCTCTACTAAAAGTTGCCGTAACCCAGTGCTCACCGAGAAGCAGTTCAAATACGTACTAAAAAAAAACAGTTGACGTTGTTTTGGGGAATTAGTACGGCCTTTTTTGGCGTACGTTTAAAAAGGTTTTTGATGGACTAGCACAATTCTGCAGCCTTTACTGGAAAAAAAAAAAACCACACAACCTGTCGGACTGCGTGGTAAAGAATGGTGTTTCTACCCAGTTCCTTTGTAGACTTAAATTTCTGTTTCGGAAGGCCTGGGTGTGCTAACTGACTGCTCGCATTCAGACTGGCAAGAGGCTTGCTGCAGAGAGACACATGAAGGAACAGCCTCTTCTTGCAACCCTGGTGTCACGTCAGCAATGTTTATCTCAGGTTGTGTTACTTTTAAATTTATGACCTTTTCAGAGGTTAAGCACTGAGCTTGGTTATTTTAAAAACATGGGCCTGGATAATCTCTAATGAATCTGTTCAAAACGTTATGTGTGTTACCTGTTCATTTGTGTTTTATGTCACACTTGAGTAAGCTTATACTGTCTTGTATGTGTTAACAGAAATCCTCATCAGGCATTCTTCAAACTATCAGTGAAGCCAAGCCCAGAGGATCTGGAGGCAGATTTTATGATTCTGCCACTTAGTTTCTGCTGCAATTTGTGACGTCGCTGTTGTCATATTGTTTTTATAGCATGAAATCACACATTATTTGGACACATCGTGAGTGTCTGGTTGTCTTCAGGGACCTTCCCATTAACTAATAGTGGTATCTGGCCATCATTGGATTGAGCAGGCTAATCTTATATTAAAATGAAATAATAACATGCTGCTGGAAGGGAAGATACCAGGGAAAGTAAGAAATAACACAAGGAGACAGAAGCAGTGGTTTTGGACTTGGGTATGCTACCCACTGTGGGCTTAGCTCCTTTTACGTGGTAGAAGCAGAGATAGCAATGCACAAGGCTTGGAAAAATTTTCTTCTTTGCAGTTGCATTAGAATAACACCTAGGGATGTGCCCCTCTGAAACCACACTTTTTATGGCTGGTTTTCCTTTGTATACTCCTATTGGAAACATTCACCTTACTATATTTGTTTAAATGTCCAGCTGATTTTTTAGGGCACTAATATGTAATGTTTGTTTACACTTATCTCCAGAAGAATTACTAGGAAATCTCAAAGTGTTATTTTAAAGGTGGAAAAAAATTAGGTTAACTTGTGTATTCAGCACTACACAGCAAGCTGCCCGAAGAACTAAAAGCAGTCTTCGTGTGTTATTCAGCTCTGGCCTTGGACTGTACACGTGCCCAATGGAATACAAAAGTAACATGGAAAAGGAGGCAGTTTTTCTGCCAGCATTCTTTTAAACTACATCATTATTGGTAATCCCTCTTCCGTGGATGTGATTTGAAGACCTTAGTTCTGGTTTATTATTGTGGAAACTGCCTGTACAATACATTTCCTTATTACTCTAGATATGAATCAATGTGTACAGTAAGAAAAAAAGCAAAAAAGTAAGGGAAAAAAGTCCATTCTAAAAAGGCTGAGAACTACTTTCATTGCATATTCTGGAACTGATCACATCAGCCTTTTAAATGTCCTTGCATTGGGATGAATGTTGAAAATTGTGCAGAT